AACTACCATGGTCAAGGTCCAGAACAGTACCAAGAAGATCAACAAAGTAGTCCGTGTGACATCAGTGGTTCAACTGTAAAGTTACGAAGCTACGAGAATACTTTTTTGCACAAAGAAAACAAAAATAACGACGCATTCACGACAGTATCATGACGCGAGCGTGTGGCGGCGCTGACCCAGATCCGGCGTAACGATCGCGTCATGATACTGTCGTGAACGCGTGTCCACAAGTGACGCAGTAGAGACAAAAATCTGGAATAAAGTTGTTATTTTTGTTTTCTTTGCGCAAAAAAGTATTCTCCTAGCTTCGTAACTTTACAGTTGAACCATTTCTTTGTTGATTATCTTGGTACTTTTCTGGACCTTGAACGTGGTAGTTACCTTGCTGTCTATGGGAGGGTCAGAGAGCCCTCAGATTTCATCAAAATATCTTAAATTGTGTTCCAAAGATGAACGAAGGTCTTACGAGTTTGGAACAACACGAGGGTGAGTAATTAATGACAGAATTTTCATTTTTGGGTGAACTAACCCTTTAACTGAAAAAAAAGCATTACGGAAGTAAAATGTGTTCTTCTACCAATAAGATGAAATAATTGTATATGTTATAAACATATAATAATAATCGTATCACAATACATTCTCTGAAAATCGTATGCAATGTTGCTTTTCTGGTAAAAGTTATTTAAAAGCTAGCTTTAAGGATTTGTAGCTATTTACTGGAAACAAGTCAACTATATTGATTTATGTTTTGTTGTTTACTTCTGTTAAACATTTTTGTTATTCTTTTATTATATACAGGTAAAATATCTCTTTAAGATAAAACTTCTTAAATTAATCCTCTTCAACAAAAAGATGATTTTTCTTTAAAAATTACATTTCATCAGTAGGCCTTAAATAATAAATATAAAATGTATATATTTTTTAATTAAATATAAAACAAATTTTGTTTTAGTATGACAGCCGGCATAGTATGCCAAAATATTCTGTCATCATAATATCATTGTGTTTAACTGAGATCTTTTTTGCTTATTCTTGTATATATTGGTATATCAAAAAGTTAGTATTGAATTTACTTTGAGCCTTTACTGTAATGAAATCCAACTGTTGGCCTACCCCCTGTCTCTCTTTCTTTCTGTCTGTCTGTGCCTCTCTCTCTCTCTTTACTGGAAACAAGTCAACTATATTGATTTATGTTTTGTTGTTTACTTCTGTTAAACATTTTTGTTATTCTTTTATTATATACAGGTAAAATATCTCTTTAAGATAAAACTTCTTAAATTAATCCTCTTCAACAAAAAGATGATTTTTCTTTAAAAATTACATTTCATCAGTAGGCCTTAAATAATAAATATAAAATGTATATATTTTTTAATTAAATATAAAACAAATTTTGTTTTGGTATGACAGCCGGCATAGTATGCCAAAATATTCTGTCATCATAATATCATTGTGTTTAACTGAGATCTTTTTTGCTTATTCTTGTATAAATTGGTATATCAAAAAGTTAGTATTGAATTTACTTTGAGCCTTTACTGTAATGAAATCCAACTGTTGGCCTACCCCTGTCTCTCTTTCTTTCTGTCTGTCTGTGCCTCTCTCTCTCTCTCTCTGTTTACTCAAATCCTCCATCAGAGCAGAGATCACACACTCGTGAGTGGTATCATGTGTTATTGAGCGAAGTAGTCGTGACATAGCAGGGACAGTATTTGGCTCTCAGAGTAAAGCTAATAGTCAACAACCACGCTGGCCGCTTATAGGAACTTCAACAATGTGAATTCTGCTGATGTAAACGTACAGTTTTGAGCAAACGGTGCACAACTCCTCATGATTAATTTGTTGTTGTTCTTCTGTAACACATAACTGAGTAGCACTTTACTCTGTGGAGGTACTGTGTACAATTTGTGCCTCTCTCTCTCTCTCTCTCTCTCTCTCTCTCTCTCACTCTGTGTCTTTGTTTACTCAAATCCTCCATCAGAGCAGAGATCACACACTCGTGAGTGGTATCATGTGTTATTGAGCGAAGTAGTCGTGACATAGCAGGGACAGTATTTGGCTCTCAGAGTAAAGCTAATAGTCAACAACCACGCTGGCCGCTTATAGGAACTTCAACAATGTGAATTCTGCTGATGTAAACGTACAGTTTTGAGCAAACGGTGCACAACTCCTCATGATTAATTTGTTGTTGTTCTTCTGTAACACATAACTGAGTAGCACTTTACTCTGTGGAGGTACTGTGTACAATTATGCAAAAAGCAGGATGTCTGGGCCTGTTTAGATGTTACAATGCAGGAACTGACTTCTTGTTATATACATTCGTAATGCATATATGAATATTTTATGTGGCTGACACCATGGGGCAGGAAGTAGGAAGATGTTTGAGAGAGGAAGTCTATTAAATGGCAAATTCGTAAATCTGTGGATGTTAGAGTGCACTGATGTTTGAAATAAGCATATGTATGTGGGCCAGTGACGAAAAAGGGTTTTTAATCAATAAAAGTTGAGCTTTTTCATTATATTTATTTATTTATTGTAACTGAGCAAAAAATAATACATTTTTCTGAGCAAAAAAGAATACATTTTTACCATGACTTACAGAAAAAAAATTGTAATTCAGTGTAACAGTGTGGTTTGTATTCCAAAAAAAAAAAATCCTAGGCATATCAGGAACAATTGGATGACATTAAAAGACTATATTTAAGGATCACAGCCCCAAAAATATTAATTAATTGTGATTTTAAATCCTTGCCAAGCTTTGCCACTATCCTTTAAACCACTAGGTTTTACCCATTTGTCAGCAAGAAGTTTTTAATTTTTAAAAAATATAATAAAATTTTGTATGATCACTTATTCTTCTGTCTTTTGTTGTCCGTTGTTTAATTTTTATATAAATGTATATGTTATGTAAATATATCTGTTTACATAAAGATATCTGTTAGTATGTTGTTTCATTTTTAAATAAATATATCTGTTACGCTGAATGATGGGACATTATTTCACCCATATTTTGACATTTTATTTTCAAAAAAGTTATGTGAATCATTAAAGTAGACGCTTTCCTTTCATTTAATATGCTTTCTGTGCATATAAAATCACTTTTGTACATTTTATTTGATGCAAACACCAAAAATGGGATATTGAACCACATACAAGTGGGCTACAAAAGAGAAGATAAAGCCAGAAATGAAAGAGTTATATTAGTTGTAACATTAATATTGGTTATTACTGTAAAAACCACAATCACACACACACACGCACGCACACATACAAACAAACACACACTCGTCCTGTCAGTTCAAAGAGAATAATCTATCAATCAAACCACCCACAGGTGAGAGTATGAACCTGTATTTGATCGGTCTAAAGTGACTAAACTAGACTCTAAAATATAGCCAGTGTTGATTAAATTAACAGTGTGAATTAAATGATAGATTAACCATGTTCTCTACTTTTTTTCCATTCAAAGTTTTGAGTTAAAGCAGTGCAGTTCATAGACATGCTTTTACATTTTTCTTGAGGCTTCCCCTCCCGTATGCAAATTGTTCCATTGCACAATTGCCAAGTTCTTTGTGCAGCCTGTCTGACTTCCACACTCTAATTATCATGGATCTGAATTCACATTTCCCTAAAGGAAACCTTGCAAATAAATTCAAAATAACTTGTTCAGACATGTTCTCTCGTGATCTTGCCTTTCTGTCAGATAGGCTTATGTAATATAAAAGGGATAACTGATGACAACAGTTACATTTTTTTAAATTAATGCACACCCACAGTGGTAATAAAATGATGTGTTTACATCTGAGGTGTGCATTCATTTTTATTCAATGGGCAGTCAGAGACCAGTTATTCAACATATTATATGTTTAACAGATGTTTATCTCAGGCTGTTACTAGCTCAAAAAAAACCTTTGCTTTAGAATTTGTATTGATGACTGTTTCTAAGCAGTTATTTTGAGAAGAGTGAGTGATCGACTGAGTGTGATTACCTGCATCTGCTGTGGCTCTTAGAACTGTTGAGAGGTAGCGATGCCAAAAATAGCAAAGCAATTACTTTAACTACATTTCTCAGAAGCAAGGTGTTACAATCACTTTTTTAAAAAATCATGTTGCTTTAATGCTTTTCAGTAGCAAAACTATTTTGATTACATAGAATAATGGAAGGATAGATATAAGTACAGAATGATGGATGGATAAATAGAAGTACAGAATGATGGAAGGATGGATGAATAGATAGAAGTACAGCATGATGGAAGGATGGATGGATAGATAGAAGTACAGAATGATGGATGGATGGATGGAAGTACAGAATGATGGATGGATGGAACAACAGAATGACAGAGAGAGCGATATACAGAATAATAGATAGAATAATAAAACGTTATAGACAGACAGCGAGTGAGAGACAGACAGACAGACAGACACAGTATATATATATATATATATATATATATATATATATACACACATATACATAATGCTGCTTTGTGACAATATTTATGATCATTATAATTACAAATTTTATATATATTATATATATATTAGCCAAATAAAGGGATCATACAAAATGCATGTTATTTTTCATTTAGTACTGTCCTGAAAAATATATTTTACATTCAAAAATGTTACATTAAAGATATATATCTTATTTTATAAAATCAACATATTTTGTCTCTGATTTTCTGCAGACCCCCTATATAGTCTCTGACATGTAAACTAAGGTTAATTAATGATGTTAAATAATGTTTTGCATCATAAATGTTATTAGACACTCACAGCTGGAGCACTGACCAATCAGCATCCAGCACTGGAATTTTAAAGCCCATCAAATTCCACTAATTATTTTGGGATTTGAGATAAAAGCTATGACTGCAGGCAATTTTCCTTGACTATGTGTCTGCCTCATTATCCTGTTTGTTTGCATTTATTGTGATATGCATTGTTTCATGTAATTGGACACATGGCGCTTCTCCACTGACCTATTTTTCTGCATTGTTTGTGATCAG